GCCCGGTCCTCTGAATTGTTTTAATGAAATAGGTTGGTTTTGAGACAAGGTCTTATACTCTGTAGCTCAGGCTACCTCAGGCCAGAGCTAGTTTGTCTAGATCTTTATGAGATTTAAATGTTTTGTTTTGGAGATAGGTTATATAGTTCAGGCTGGCCTTGAACTTGTTATGTACCCATAGTTAGCTTTGAACTCCTGATCTTTCTATCCCACATCCCAATTGCAGGGTCACAGGCCTGCATCCCCACCAGCCCAGCAGGGAGTCTTAGAGTTAGTAGGGTTTCCTTTGTGTAAGTTCATATTTCTAGTGTGGTTTTCCTTCTGCCCCAAGTTATGGCATTAACATTTCTCTTTACTGTGATTATGATGATAATGAATTCTTTCAGCTTTTGTGTTTCTGGGAGTTTTCAACACCCTCCCCCCATGAGACAGTTTCATTAACTCTTGCTGGCTTTCAACTCATAGTCTTCCTGCCTCAGCCTCTTGAGTACTGGCATCACAGGTATGTGTCATTGTCATTGATGTAGTTCTGTATTCCTGCTGGGTCTGGAGTTGTGTTGATGAAAATGGAATGTTTTCTACCCTGTGGATTGTACTGTAGCCAGGAAACCTGATATTTTGTTCCTTTGCATATGTTTTTCCTTTTTTCTAATTGCTTTTAAGTTGGTTTCTCTTTACCATTCAGCTCAAGCAACCTTTGATGTGCCTTGAGTAGTTGTCTTCATTGCATTTAGCCCACCAATGCCCTTGGACCAGAGGGTGTGGGGTCCCCTGCTCTAATATTCTCTGCCTTATTTCCTTGAGACAGGTTTGGTGACATTCTGACCTATCTAGCTAGCCCCAGTAATCTTGTCTCTGCCCCACACAGTGCTGAAGTTATTCCTGGCTTTTTACATGGGTGCTGGGAACTCTTGACTCATGTCCCCATGCTTGCAAAGAGCAGGAACTCTTCCCCATTTCCCAGCCCCTATCTAGTGTATTTCTAGGTTTATGTATATGAGTGTTTTGCTTTTATATACGCCTATCCATGAAGGCCAGAAGAGGGTATCAGATTCCCTGGAACTGGAGTTAGAGCACCATGTGGGTGCTAGGAATTGAACCCAGATATTCTGCAAGAATGGCAAGTGTTTGTTTTCTTTTTTAAGGTTTACTATTTTTTTGGGTTTTTCAAGACAGGGTTTCTCTGTGTGGCCCTGGCTGTTCTGGAATTCACTCTGTAGACCAGATGGACCCTGAACTCAGAGATCTGCCTGCCTCTGCCTCCCAATTGCTGGGATAGATAGAGGTTTATTTATTTTTATTTTATACATGTGGGTATTTTGTCTCTGTGTATCTCTACCGTGTGCTTGCAGTACCCAAAGAGGCCAGAAGAGGGTGTTAGATTCCCCCAGAACTAGAGTTACAGATGTTTGTGAGCCACCCTGTGGATGCTAGGAATCAAACCTGGAAGTATACTCAACTGCTGAACCATTGCTCCCAGCCTAGTGTTGTGAGGTATTTGTTTGTTTTGTCTTGACGGGGTTATTTTTAAAATTTCAAATTAGCATCTTCAAGAATTTGTTTTGGGCCTTTTAAAAAAGTCTCTATCATTGCTTCTTACCTTTAGTTCCTTGAGCAGGAGGAATATAGTCCTTTAATATCTTTGTCCCTGCCATTTCTGGGTTGCTTGTGAGTACTTTCTCTTCTATTCATCTTCTCCTCTGCTATGTGGTACAGGTAGCTTCCTGTTGTACCTTATTTGTTGTACCTTGCTTGTATTCCTTCACACTTCAGCTGTCACATGCTTGCTTGAATCAATTTGATCTGTTCAGGTTTTGGTTTTAAGCAAGACCTAGGTCAATGCTTAGTCCAGGGCTCGTTTTCCCCCACTGCATCAAAACATTTGAGTGTTCAACAACATCTGATCTGTCAGGGTTTCTGTACTAGTGGGCAGGAAGACCCCCTAGCCAGTAGGACTTTTTTGCATTTAGAATTCCGATCATCCTGGTCTGTTTTCCTACTCACTAGGAGCCTCTCCCCTGTAGCTCTGAACTGCCTTGCTGCTCTAGACTACCACAGCCACTCAGCTCTTCTACTGGAGGCCAGCCCTGGCTGAGGCCCTTTCCTTGCACTGTGGACTAGGCAGTCTCTAGAGTCCTTGAGTTCCCTGTTACCCATCTCCCAAGGCTCACCATCCTTTCTGTTGCTGATATCCAGGGCCTTGCAATCTGCCATGTAGTTTTATTGGTTTTAAACAGAGTAAAAGCTAGATGGTTCCCATTAATACCTGCTTTTTAAAAAGCTGAAAACTGAGGGTCTGAAGGGTTGTACTGCCAGCTGGTAGACCAGGATAAGAGACACTGACTGAAGACGTGACTTTTCTTCAGTGACAATCTTAGCATATAATTGTCTCTTAAAACCTTAGAACTTAAGTTAAACTTTGGGAGGAGGTATCTGGAAATGCTTACACAGATCTCTACATCCTTGAGCAACACTGTGAACACATCTAGACCCTTTGGTTATGTGTTAACCTTTGGGTATCAGCTAGGGGAGGGTCATGCACATTTCTGTTCCAATTACAATGCAGCAAAGGAGTATGGCCAGGCTGCCCATATATCTCCCTTCTCCTAGTGTGGGATCGCAGAACTCCCT